ATGTGGGGCTGGAGAGATGGCTCAGTAGTTAAGAACAATGGTTGTTCTTGCAGAAGACCTGGGTTTGAATCTTAGCACCCACATGGCATCTAACAACTGTCCATAACTCCACTGTCCATAACTCCAGTTCTAGGGGATCTTCTGAAAGCCTCTTCTGTCCTCCGTGGGCATTGCACGGCATGGGTACACTTACCTACATGCAGGCAATACATGCATACACATAAAATAAAATAAAGAATAATAAATAAAATATTTTTTAAAAAGTCTGCACTTCCCATTGTAGAGGAGAAAGAAACTATTTCATATTGTTTTTTTTCAGGAATACATGTCAAGGTTAAAAATGACTGGATTAAAAATTACCGGAAGGACCACCTGCTATGGCTGGTTACAATTAGCAATGATTTTAATTGGTGCCCTCAGGAGTGATAAAAGTCCCTCTAAACATTAAGGATATCCTAGACATGCAAAAAGTTTGTTCTCAAAGGAGGAACAATTACAATTAAAAAAAATTTTTTTGGTTTATTTAATTAATTAATTTTTTTATGTTTATGAGTGTTTATTTGCATGCAAGTAGGTGGTCCATGTGCATGCAGTACCCGCTGACAGGCAGAAGAGGGCGTCCTGTCCCTTGAACTGGAGTTAGGGACTACTGTTAGCTAGCTTATGGGTGCTGGAAACAACCTGGGTCTTCCGCAAGAGCAGCCAGTCCTCTTAACCAGTGAGCCATCTCTCCAGCTCCTACAATTCTTTTTAATGGGTTAGCTGAGATAGTTCCAGAAGCCCCTGGAAAGTGGTTCAGTGTCTATTAAGCACCCTGCAGAGGGGGAATGTGCCCTGAAGACACCAAGAACACCTTGCTGTTTCTTAGGGAGCTTACCCATGAGCTCATAGCTAGCTTTAGACTACAGTGTTGATGCTGATCAACCCACAGAGAGGATACTCGAGATGTCGGAACTCAGAATCCAGTAACTGCAGAAATGACATAGACGGGAATGGGAAGAGGAAGCACACATTGTGGCAAAGACCAATTTAAATACTATAAGTAAGGCAATACCTATACTTAGGGTGCCTAAAAGGCAAGAATATTTAAAGCTACTTGAGAATAAAATATAATGACGAATGAGTTTTGGAAATCTAGTTAGATTATTTTTATACGTTTACTACGATTTTGGAGCATCACAAGAAAAAGATTTTTAAAATATTTTATTAATTATTTTTATTTTATGTGTATGAATGCTTTTCTTGCATGTATGTTAAGTGTGCCTCTGTCATATAATGCCCACAGAGGTCAGAAGATAGCACTGGATCCCTGGAACTGGAGTTATGGATGGTTGTTAGCTGCCATATGGGTGCTGGGAACCAAACCCTGAGCCTCTGCAAGAGCAGCTAGCGCTCTTAACCGCTGAGCCATCTCTCCAACCCCAGGCAAGCAATTTTTTTAAAAGCAGTTTTTCTTAGTTTTCATGTATTCTCATGAAGAAGGGAACAGAGATGTGTTTTTAAAACAGTATTAGCAAATCTGTGAACTTCATATCTTTTTAAAATTATTAAGCCTGCCTCAGAAGGAAGTCTGGATAAACTTTTGGGTTTTCTTCTTTCCTATGACGTGTGTAAGAAAATACAAGGAAACATAAGTTCGTGCATTTTGCTATTTTGCAAGGCACAGAAACTGCAGTATAAAAGGGGTGAGATACGGTGCTCATGGGTGATAGAGCTCCTAAGATGAACTGTACACGGTTTTTAGCCCCTATGGTAGCACCTGGCTCTCTGTCCAAGCTCACCAAAGGGTAACATAGAAACTCCACTCACCACAGGTGATGGGGAAAGTGCAATGTTGCCTATGGAAGCCTTCAGTTCGTCGACAGTTGCAGCATTCTTAAGAATGCCTTTAGACTGCAATGGTTTAATCTTGATATTGAATTTCTTGTGTGATTCTTCTTCCTCTTCGGATTCGCTTGAAGAATAAAAGTGCTTTCCTTTGGTAGGTAGAACACAGTTAAAGACACTTAGCTCTTCTACTGGGACGCGATGATGCAAAGGAAACAGGAGTGATGGCTTGTAGGCAGCAAAGGCAGCCTCGGGTGGCAGGAAGGAACACAACAAAGGAGGAGAAGGTTTGGGTTTATTCACCTTCCCTCAGAACCTGACAAGGACAGTGAACTCCAAGGAACAGCGGTCAGGATCCTGTATTTCAGTGGCAGGTGGCTTTCGCATGGTGTACTCTGCTCATAGACAGGCCCTCACGAGCTTACTTATTACCTGACCACGGACCAAGGGCATCTGTGAAGAGTGCTTTGGAGTTGGCGAGAATGAAGGAGGGTTGCTAGAGCCTTTCAGAGGGGAACTGGAGAGAGAGGACAGGAAGAGCTATTTTGTACTCACTGTAAATGATGTTGCTATCAGGGTTTAGCAGACAAGCTAGGGCCATAGTGTGCAAGCACACAGTTTTCTACATCTCCTCACTCTCTATAGTCTATGAATAGATAAAGGTAAATGCCTGCTTGCCAGCCTTCAGGTTGTCCTCTGGGCTATTTTCCATCTTTGATATTAGGAATAGTAGGTTAAGCTATTTCATCTCTTCTGTGAAACTTGAATTTAGTTTACTGTTTTCTGAGAGGGAATACAAATTAAAAATTTACAAAAGAAAGGATATAGCCGGGTTCCTCCGGTCTGATGCTGTAACCTTCTTCATCCAGCTCAGGTGAGTTCTATAAGATACAAATGTATGTTAAATGGTCATTATCCTGATGTGATGGAAGAACTGTTGTGCTTTTAGAATCTTCTACTTAAAGATATAGACAAATCTCTTACCCTAAGGGGATGAGGCTTTAACTTTTAGAAGTGAATGCTAGGCAGTTTATGTTTCTCTCTTTATTTGAGGATATCGCGAGGACCCCCAGTGAAAGAAAGCTCGCGAGGACCCCCAGTGAAAGAAAGCTCGCGAGGACCCCCAGTGAAAGAAAGCATTCAAAGAGAACTTACAAGCTTTTCCTCTAAGCCACAGACTGTGCTAAGCAACCTGGGGGAATGCAAACTATTTGCCCACAGAAAAATGGAAATATTTTTGTGAGGCATAAATTAAAAAGGAAAACAGCACAAGACATCAGTGTTAGATAGGAATTAAAATCAGGGGATGTCGCTTTAGTTTGCAAGAATTAGGGAGGGCAGCTTGAGCCTCTCTGTGCAGACAGAGGACAGGGTACAGGTCTCTCCCCAGGTGGTGGGAAGAGCCTGGCCTTGGGATACCATGGCGGGAGTAGACACTGTATGATTCATGTGGGGAAGGCAGAGGAAACAAGGATGACAGAACTAGGAAAGGATTCGGACAGTGCGGACTGGGCAACAGACCTTGGTGGCCTGCATGCTAAGGCAGGAGTTTCGTCCTGCTAGAGCTGATGCAGTTTCTCAGTCACAGTAGGACATGGTGGGAGCAGAATGATACGGGGAGATTGGGACAGGAGAAAGATCACTCATTTAAAAGTGTATCAGTTGCTTAGAATATAAATCAAGTTCTGGTGGTAGAATGGGAAGAACCAAGGACATTTGAAGGAATGGTTAGTTCTTGGTAAAAGAATAGTCATAGGAGAAAAAGAGAAGGGAAGTTTTGAGAAGTTTCTAAGGTTTCTATGCTCCACTCTTGGGCAACTGACTGCCGGCTGAATGCAATCTAATAGCAGACTGCTAACATTTATGGGGAAAAGGCAGGAACAATAAGAGGCAGTGTGAGTTATTGGGATTTATATTCTACATCTTAGTTCCTATTATAAGCATGTGACACAGCCTCATCGATGACATAATGGCACTATGTGGGAAGAAGAAGCCCCATGGCTAATAAGGAAACCAGATAAAATCAGACGACATGCAGGCATGTGTTCACCTTGGGCCTTGACTCCAGGCACTTTGAGACTGTATCTTCAGCTGACATGAGGACGGACTGCAGGGTGGCCCTGCTGAAGCTGAGATTAGAAAGGCAGCACCGAGAGATATCTTATGTCAAGTGATTTATGTGTTCTAGATGATTAGAAATCTGAGGGTGGTCCAGGTGGGCTCCAACAGTCTGTCCAGCTGTGGTTAGTGAAGTGTATGGTAATGGTGTTAATCAGCTTTGTGAAGAATTTATGAGGAAAATTTAGATCTCAGCTTCTCCCCGAGAAGTATTAACCGACTGTCACTTGACCTGGGCAAAATTTGAACTATATAGTAGTCACCATGAAATCAAAGCTTAGCAGTTAACTCGGTTGCTTCCACACTCAAAGCTGCTTAGAAATAGAACCACTCCTGAAACACCTAGAGTTAGTATAAGGAAAAAAAGTCTTTTGAACACACCTGTGGGCTACATACACTCCTGGAATGTCCAAGCAATTAGGTGACTGAGTCCTGGTAAGAGTGGCACAGGGGAACTGTTGTACCGACTATTTGTGGCCATCTACAACTGGTACTTAGAGGGGCCAAAAGCCGGGTTGATGGACTCTAGTACAGTTCACCCCATTAACCATTCTAAACATGCCAGACGTTTCCTAATAAAATGGACAGTTGTTCACTTTATTTCCATGTCCCACTATATAAATGAGAGCCTCAATTCATTTTTAAGGTGTAAATACATAAAGAAAAACAACTCTTATACTCACATATCTTTCCCAATCAATTTCTGCATAAAATCCATTCGGTGCCCCATTGCTTTTCTTCTGTAATAAATTTGAAAACAAATTTAGAAGGGAAACATTCGAATTTAAAAGAAAACCACAACGGAACCAAAAGAAAAAATCTCCCACTTAATAACTCTTAACTGTATTTAGCATGAGCTATCAAAATCCAGCGTGGAAATGGCAAATTAGAGCATCCTGTGGTAAAACCATATTGGCATACGTGATGGTAAATGCAGCCGCCACAGCACTGCATGAGAAGCCAACCTATGTAGTTCACAAGACTGTGCAACCTAGGCACAGGGTATTCACAGCTAGCTGTTCAAATCTTACTCAATTGCTGACGGATTTGTAGTGCCTATGTGACGTAATCCTCATACCTTTAGGGACCAAAGCCATACTCATATAGATATATTTTAGATGAAAACATTTTGACTTCTAAATTGCTAACATATATACAATTAGTTTCAACATATCCAAAGACTATTTACCTGAGTCATTAATCTCTTAACATTTTTTGCCATTGACTCAATTGGTAAAATATAAAGGAAGTCAGCTCTAGATTAGTTCATTCAGCTGCTAGTTACTAAAAATAATATTGATATTCTTTCCAAAAGGCTTTTCTTATCAAATTATGAAAATGGAATTTGAAGCTTAATGGTGGGCTTCCTTTTATGTGTCCTGAGCCTCCTTGATCTCATACCAGTGCAAGTAGACTGCCAATCAGCACCGTTCTGTCTCTTGCTTGTCTTAACATTTTATTTTGGCTCCTAGTATAATTGTGATATAAGAACACAAGTATTTGACCAAGGATGTGGCAACCCCCAAGTGGAAACTAACAAAGTTATCTACTTTTTTGAAGGGAAGGACAAAAACACCGATCAGGTTAGTGATGAAGGGGCTGCTCAATGACATTCTTGTATTTAACACACAGGACAATGACGATGATCTGTTGTTGAGCAATGGCAGACTTCAGAACAACACATATCAATCAAATGGTGGTGCATGAGCCTCAAGGACAGGACCTCTAATTTTGCAATCACAAATAAGGCCACCTGGGTTAGTGTAGGTGGTGAGTATCCAATTTGACAGATAGGTGAGGAGGAAGCTTTTCAGATATGTGCAGAGATTGCTAGAAAACCCAGAATAACCATGACCATGAGTGACGCTTACTGAGTGTGGACTGTTGGATGGGCAGTGGCTCAGCAAGGATGCATACTGCAAGGGCATCACCACTATTAAATTAGAGTTTCAGTGATATTCTTCCCACTTAGCACAAAAGGACTTTTAAGAAACATATCACATCAGCTCTCTCTATGTGTACTTTATAATGCTATTGTTGAGAACATAGCCAATTTAATAACGTCAGTAATCTCTCCCTGGAAATGGGTTTGCCTTCTATTTCCTTTTCATAATATTCTCTAAGTTCCTGATTTGTCAATTTGTATACTATTTCGTTGAAAATGCTTCAATTCCTAAGAAAGTGTAATATCTAAGATCAATATAAAGGTTAACTTACAATAATAGGGAATCAAATTAATGAAGTTGATTTCAGAGATATAAACTCATGAATTTTGAATTGTGTGATCAATGTAACACTGCCTCCTACTTTGAAAACAACTCCTTCATACAAAGAATTGTTATTATAAAACCAAAGAAATTAGGTATATAACAGAACTCAAAATTTCCAAAGATCTACATATAGCTTGCTTCTCTGATAATACTATCCCTATAATTAAAGCTCATCAAAACCAAGACACTTTTATGTTCAGATGAATAACTTACATGTGTGTGTGCACATACATATGAAAGTATATTTTTTTCTTGACAACACATATACAATACTTACATAAAGAAATTACTAAATTTCAAGATTTAGGCCTTGTGAACATTTCCTTATTTCCATGGAAACCAATGGAAGATTGAGATAAAGGAAAAGCAAAGCCTACGTAATTTTTTCTTTATAAGAAGCATTTTAAAAACAAATACTAAATGCAGACAACAGATTGTAGCAATACCATTGTCAGATATTCAACACACACACACACACACACACACACACACACACACACACAGGTAGCACTGTCACTGTCAGAGATACAACACACACACACACACACACACACACACACACACACACACACACACAGAATTTTTCATTTCACAAGTGAAAATTACCACTAAAGTTAGGCTAGATTCTAGCTGGAATTCTTCTGGCTAAGCCCAAAGAAAAAGTAATTCTTGTTTTAAACATTGCCCAGGGTACAGCTTATGGCTCTATTAATTTTCAAATGAAAACCTTTGAAGAAGCAGGAAAGAATGCAGTGGGGAAATGTCTCTTGACCAGACCTAATGGCAAAAACAGCATCAGTTCCTCACCAATACCTAAATGGTGATTTTTTTTTTTTCTTCTTCTTGGAATTGGAGTAACACATTCATTTATTTTTCCCTTTTTATTTTTTTAAAAAAAACACATTCCTACCACAGTTTTGTTTTTGTTTGTTTGTTTGTTTTTGCTTTGCTTTATTTTAGAGACAGGGTCTCACTATGTAGCCCTGGCTGGCCCAGAACTCACAATGTAGATCAGGCTGGCTGTGAATTTACAGAGGTCTGTCTTCCTCCACCTCCAGAGTGCTAGGATTAAAGGTGTGCTCCCCCATGCCGGCCCCTAGCACAGCTTTTACTATTTGAGTGTTTGACTATTATTTAAAGGCGGTTGAGCTTGCTTTAATATGTATCATTTTGGTTATCTTAATATCTATCCTCAGACAACATGATGGGGTAAATCAATAAGTATAGTAACATTTTCTCTTAATTGTGCATTCATCGACGTTCTGTTTCCGTTGTGAATGCCCCTCTTTTTTGAGGTTAGCTTACAACTACACAATAATCTTCGGGTGAGTAGAGATAAAAATACACGATGTGCTGCTGAATTATTATCTTCTCTCCTCCAAAGTAGACTTAAATCATTTCACAAATAATCTTACTGAACAGCAATTTTCAGTAGAACTGGCTGTGAGAATGGCCTGTTCTATTTGATGTTCAGTAGGTGGTCAATAGATGTGCCTGACTATATAGTCTTTGAAATGTGGCAAGTATGGCAAGGGACCAAATTTTAATAAAAAGCTTCCTAAGAGCCACCACAGCTGTAGCTATTGCAGTGTGGCCTGAGATCAGCAACCTTGACTCCACTACGTACCTTGGTTTCCATAGGGCTGGGTCCTGCCAATTTCCTGATACCATTAACATAATGATTATCCTAATAAGTGATGTTACTCAGTTTGCATGTTGACCTTTATAGTCCAAGTCATCTTTACAGATAGCAGATTTCTTTTAAAATTTGAAAAATTTGAATCCCTGTCCTATGTCTAAGGTAACACACAAATCTCTTAGTCCTGATCATTCTTGAAAGGAATGTTCAAATATCAATACACGAAATCCACAGGATTGATTTAAAAATTGGACTGAGGTAGTTAAGAAGTAATTCGGAGATACTTCATTGAATAAGTCAAGGTGACTCTGCTGTCTGGATTTTAGATTGGGATCTTACTCACTGTTCTACAACCCCTTGGAAATTTTAAACTAAAGTCTGTTTCCTTACCGACGCTTTTTTTCCTCCTTCACGCGCACACTCTGCTTTGCTATGGTAGGGTGGCTCGTGTGGGCTGGGCTGCTGGAATTGATTGTTTTCATGTAGAAAAAAGCTGTTAAAGGATCTTGTTCTTCAAGACACATATAAAGAATCACATGGAGTCAGCAAACATATCACAGAAGAAACAATTTCTAGACCAAATTGCATGGCCTGCCAATCTTGGCAGGGTTATTTAAGCAAAGAGTAGACTTTGGGGCCCATAATGAGGCTCTATTCAGCAGGCCATTTTGGCTAAGCCAAGAAGGGGGAGAGGAGGAGGAGGGAGACCGGCTGGGCACCAGGGACCCTGTGGATCCGTTCCTCATTCAGACGGCACTAAGTGCACAGGTAGAGAACAGACACAAGACGTACAGGAAGAGACGGAGCAAAAACAGTTGTCATTCTAATCTAAGTATGAAAAGCCTAGTTCTTCTGCTTTTCCCTGCTCACAGCCTCCCTGAGGGTCATGGATAACCACAGTGCACACAGTTCCAGGCCTGTGCCCTTTTCTTCTTGCCTGTTTAGGATAAGCAGAAAAGACCTCACAGTAAGGGCTATGACCCTTATTGCCCAAGTACCAGGGTATTTGTGAAGAATTAGGACTGTTTAGGGAAAAGTTAAAATGTGTTGCAGCCTTGACCTTGTAACAAGCAGTTCTGCCAGTGATAGGTAAGAAGGCAAGCCCACCTTCACACCACGCAGTCCTGCCATCAAGCCTCTATCCATGATGGGCTATATTAGAAACTGGAATTAAATACCACTACATTGAAGCTCTTGTGCAGACCCCTTTGGTTACCAACTAGTTTATAAACACTAGCTGAGCATATCACCACATGCAGTTTGCAGGACCACATTAGTCAAACTACAAGTGTCAATGTCAGGCCTTAAAAAGGTAGTGGTCTGGAAGCTATCTCAACCATAGCAAACTGGTTCCAATCCACAGACATAAGATCTTAAAGAAATAAGTTTGAGTTTAGAATAAAATCAGGCTGAGATTATTATAGACCAATAACAAACAGGCATGTTAACTCTAGCCCACAGTGTTGTGTTTCAGAATTTGGGGACCAAGTATTTCAGGGAAATTTGAGCATTTTCAAATGGTAGAAATAACAGCTGGCTTATAATTTCCAATATCCATGAAACTATACATCCTTTTTCAGAGAAAATGTACTTCTTTTGAATGTGGTCTGTTTTATTTCTGGAGAAACTGAAATGCAGTAGTTCTGTAATAATTACAACGACATTTCTAATTAACAACAGGGAGGACATAATTGCTATTGAGTAACTTTACAGGACATGGAATGGTATAAGGAAAGCTCAGGGAGACCTGGAGGAGAGAAGTCCCTAGGATGGATCTGGGCTCATAAGTGTAGCACATGTTCACGGTCATCTGCAACGTCAGGTACTGTGGTCCATAGTTCAGCGATACTGAAACTGGGGTTCTCCAGAAGAGCAGAGAATAGCAAGGAAGCAATGGGGCCACAGAGACGATAGGAGAGGTTTGGAGAAAGAAAAAATAGACAAGACAGAGTGGAGTGAGAGAAGTCGGAAGGCGCAACCCAGCCAAGGCAGAGAGCAGAGGGGTGAGCAGCGCCTGGCCAAGGTGGGAATGAAAGGACAAGAGGACCCAGGGGGGGGACCAAGCCAGAGGCAGGGGAGACACAGAGAGCAGAGAGTACCTGAGACAGAGTTAAGGAGAGGGCTCTGAGCCAGAAGCAAGAGGTGAGCAGAAGCTGAGTCTTCTGGGCCTTTTTTTTCCCCTGCTGAATAGAGCCTTTATTATAGTGGTACCCAATGTCTGACCAATTTCAGTCTCTTGTCAACATTTCACAGCAAGAATCACAAGAAGGCAAAATGCACCCAAAAGCTAAAACCCTGAATCAAGAGCAGGAGAAAATCTCCTGCTATAGCTGAGATTCATACCCCATTAAGTAGGATATTGTAAAGGGTTTTAAAAATATATACGTATTTTTAACCACTGTGTTTATTTTAATTTTCACTCGAGCCCAGTGAGCTTAATGTGAGTCCATTTTTTTTTTTCCTGAGTAACAGCTGTTCTTTTGAACCTTCTGAATAGGACCTGATTTAGATGGGAAGGAAGTCATTTTAGGAGCTAGGACAGAATCCCATAAGCACAACATGGCCAAGCCTAAGCCTGTATGCTCCAGACTTCCGAAAAGCAAGAAATCTGGCAACCAGCAAGGAGTCGGTTTCTGCTAAATTGAAACCCAGTGGACACATTTTCCTCCTTCAGGCTGTAAATTCAGGCACAAGTGGTTTTAAGACCATTCCCTATTTTTGAATTTAATATAGAAAATGTATTTGCAGCCCAACTTCTCAAGGGGAAAAGTTTCCTTCAGTTTTACTGGCTTGCTGCTCTTTTATGACTCTGTGGCGCCGCTGGAGAGGAACATTCTCACATTATAAGCTTTATATCACTGAACTAGAAACAAAATAGCAGCTGTAACAGCCCCTGTATGGACTGTCTGGCTTCTGACCTGACATCTCCATGGCTAGTTTGTGAGTGTGCTCTGGGCTGGGTTTCAGGTGAATGCAATAAATAAGTTTAGCTTGATCAAGACTACATTCATGTCCCATGCAATTACCAGAGAGAATTACAGTGGTAGAGGTCTGAAAAGTCCTGCAAGTTGTTTTAAAGGGGGGAGGGGCAGGGACAGTGAATGGGGGCGGGCTTTAGAAAATTTAAGCATAGCATATATGGGACTGCAAACTCACTAAAAATGGCCATTTAGATACTTACCATTCCATCTCGATCTGGTGAACCTCTGTAACAAAAAGAAATTGGTAGCTGTTATGAAAATGAATCATTCCTGTTGCAGACCAAGGAGCCATGAATCATTAATCACAACCTTCACCCTCCCCTGTGTTCCCATTACAACAACTGGTTAAGGAAACAGAAACCAGTGGTACTGGCAATGCTGGCACATGGGAGAAGCACATGTATGCCAGGTAGGGGGACACTTATCAAGAGCTGAAGTCCAAAGACACAGCTGGTGGTGCTGTGCCTCATTCTGTGTTGTTTGTAAGAGTCTCTCTCTCTCTCTCTCTCTCTCTCTCTCTCTCTCTTTCTCTCCTCCCTCCCTCTCTGTTTTGTCTCCCTGTGGCCTGTAACCCCAACTAGCCTGGATCTTGCTATGTAGACCAGGCTGTCCTTGATCTCACAGAAATCTGCCTGCCTCTGCCTCCCAAGTGTGAGTGCTGGGATTAAAGGTGTGAGCCACCATGTCTCCTAGTCCACACTCTTTTGAAAAAGATTTATGGGGCTGGAGAGATGGCTTAGCGGTTAAGAGCACTGACTGTTCTTGCGGAGGACAGGATTCTATTCCCAGCACCCACATGGCGGCTACAAACCATCCTTAACTCCAGTTCCAGGGGAATTTGACGCCCTCTTCTGACCTCCGCAGCATTGCATGACACAGGTGCACTCACTTACATGCAGGCAATACACTCATACACATAAAATAAAAATAATAAATAAAATAAAAGATTTATTTTTAATTGTGTGTTTGTAGGTATGTGTACATATGAGTACGGGTGTGTGTGGCACCTAGAAGAGGGTATTTGATCCCCTGGAACTAGAATTATCACCTGACTTGGGTGCTGGGATCCCAACTCCTGTCCTCCGGAAGCACAGTATATCCTCTTAACTGCTAACCCAACTCTCTGGTTTCTCTGGCCCATTCTTACTGACTCCATTTAAAGCTATAGTAAATCATGTATACAGATTTGTTTTCCTTTGTAAGTGGTTCTGAATGGTCTTTCATGAGGTGAAACTTCTGTGGTCATTTTCATCCTGTTTTGAGACTTTGTGCCTTCATCCGTATGTGTTTCCTGTATTTACATCTCCTGTGATAGGAGATGGAGGTTGGTAGTTAGCTAAGTGGCGCCCTCTGCTGCTGAATTCCGGGGTAGCTGTTCCGTGGTGGCACCATGCTGTGATGTGCTGCAAGGCAGCTGCAGAGTAAGATGAATCTGGAGGTTCAGACTTCACCATTTCTGAGTTCTGTCACTCTGAATTTGTTATCTAACCTCTCTAAGCCAGTGTAAGTAGAGTAGTGCATACAGCGAACTGATAATTGTTCCCCACACATACTAAGTACTCAAAAATGTTGATTATAATTTTTCTTGTCCATGATGGTTTTTCACTAGGAACATAAAAGTGGTCATTTGCAGCTGCACTGGGCTGCAAAGTTACTTTTCAGGTTACAATTGGAAACTGGACTGGATAGGCAAGGGAGGGAGAAGCAAGAAAGTAACCGCTGTTATGTGACAACATGATTGTAATTCATTTTGTGGAGAGCTTGAAAGTATTAATACTATTAAAAAGCAACTAGAAACTGTGCTTGGAAATGGACTTGTACTGTGGGGAAGACAATATTAATAAGTGTTTGGGGTAGACTATGACATCACTAGAATTTGGTAAGGTTGGAACTGGTCTCTCTTTCTGGACTATGAGATAATTCCACTTCCCCACCAATTCTCCTTCAAGACAAGCCAAACAGTCTCCCTGAACTGTAAGACCCTTGTTAGAGGGCATCATCCTTCATGATTAGTGCATCCTGTGCCCATACAGAGGCAAAAGGGTTAATCAGCACTACGGGAATAGAAGCAGGGAGGACGATACTATTGAAACATCATGGGAGCTGACAGAAATCTTGGAATCTTTGGACATGCCCTGGGAACTAACATTAAATGTTTCAAAGAAATGTCACTTAAAATAGAAGGGCAGGAAGAAGTTCACTGGACCAAAGTTATGATTTGTTGAAAAATATTATGTGCTTATGATAAGCACAGACTTGGGCAGGGCCAGGGAATGAAACAATAAAGATACGCTCCATATAGAAAGAATGCTGCTCTAGTACCAGACAACCTGGGTTCAACCAACGCAGACGAAGCAGGGAAGCTTGGGCAAGCAGCTTCATTGCTTTCTGTCGTAATTTCCCTGTCTATAAAATAGCTATGGCAATAGCATATACCCCACTGAGTCAAGAGGATCCCAGAAGTTCATAAAAGTCAAGAGCCTGAAACAGTGCCTAGAATGCAGTAAATAAACATTTGTTAAATATTTTCCAGAATAATAATGATTATGTAATCTGATTTTGGGTCGGAAGGGGGTAGATTTTTATCAGCTTTGACACTTAGGCATGTGTTTTAAAGTTATTTCCTTACCTACTAGTATGAAGTTTTAATTTATGAATTAATTTCTATGTCAGCATACAAAGTCATTGGTTTCATTTTAACATTTTCTTCTTTTTAAAAATTTATTATTTTTATTTTATGTCCATGAGTGAACTGCCTGTATGTATGCAAGTGCACCCATGTTATGCAATGCCCAAGGAGGTCAGAAGAGAGTGTCAGATTCCCCTGGAACTGGAGTTAAGGACGGTTTGTAGCTGCCATGTGGGTGCTGGGAATTAATGCAGGTCCTCTGCAAGAGCAGTCAGTGCTCTTATCTGCTGAGCCATCTCTCCAGCCCTTCATTTTAACAATCATATCACACATTAACAAACTTTGTTCTTATCCTCCTCCCTGCCTTCACTGTCCCCCAACTATCCTCCTTCACCTTCTTATTGGTCCCCTTCCTGCCTCAAATCGTTCCATGTCTGCTTTTATGCCACAAGTGCTTCATTCTACCCCTTCACTCTCTTCTTTCCATTAGGTCTCCTCCTCTTCTCTCGTGGTCCCCTTTCAACGTTCACAGCACACACACACACACACACAGAAACACACACACACACACACGCACACACACAATTAAATCTAGATTTCATATCTGTCTTTCTGGGTTTTGCTTACTTCCCTTAACCTGATTTCTAGTTCTATGCATTTCCCTCCAAATGTCACAATTCCATTTTTTATGGCTGAATAAAATTCCATTGTGCATATGTGCCATATTTTCTTTATCCATTTATTGACAAACATCTATGCTGGTTTCATTTATTAGGTGTTGTGAATGGTGAAGCAATAAATATGGATGTGCAAATATCTCTATGGCATGCTGATACAAGGGTCTTTGGGTATATGCCCAGTAGTAGTATTGTAGATCATATGGTAGTTGCAATTTTAGTTCG